AAAGGGCTGAATGAACGAACTTAAGGGCGTTGACAAGGATCGGTGCAGCATTTGGAAGAGCTGATAGAACCTCGGAACCAACACATATGGTTGTGATGTTGGTAGCTGGATAATGTGAGATAATATTTTGGGTAACCCAATTAGCAGCAGTGGTATTTGACTGACCAACACCAAGGATCTGTTCATTAGGCACAGAAACAGCGACTTTGATGCCTGTATTTGCAAGTGCAAGGAGCATACCACGGTCAGCATTGAAGAGGCGAACATGTCGAATTTGCTGTGCTTTAAGAAGTGCAACTACTTGAGTTGGATGTGGCATGTCCGAGAGCTCCGTTCCAATGTTTACTCCAATAAAGACATCTGCATGGAAGGCGGAAAAATTGAACTAAATATTATTCTCCCCTCACTATATCCAAGTTCAAGTAATAGGTCATATTTTACATCTAATAATTAACAAACAATTTAATCCATCAATATGATAGGGTTCAAGAAGTTCATTCTACATTTCCACATGATAGTTTGACAAGAGACAGAAAAATGAGCTTGGACATCTATCTATTAATCTACTTGAAAATCTTGGTTTTAACTTAATCATAACAACTACTTGGTATAAAAAAAGGAACTTATTTAAATATGCATCAATATTATGTATTTTATTACTGTAGTGGCCAGACTAACTGGTGCACACGACTATTCCATATGGTACCTAATACCTCCAATTAGCACGGACACCAAATAACTGGTCACCAGTGTAGGTAAATCAGAAGAAATCACCTAGAGCTTTTTGTCTTGGTTGTAACACATTTTATTGACCTCTAAGTCACACCTAGAGTGCTGTTTATGCATCAATTATTGAACACTAGAAGCACAATATTCCAAATCAGAATCATAACCAAGAGATAATAAATTGAGAATGGGAAACTGGGACCATGTACTTGGCCAACTTGCTGGTAATCTGGGAGCATGCCAATGTGGACTAGTATAAAAAAGCACATGAAATTAGTTGTACATCAGGTTCTTCCTGCTTTTTTTTTGCATATGAGATATTTGTTCTATTCTTTGTTCTTTTTCTCATGCATGATTATAAATCTCAGAGATCTGGTTTGGGTTGCCTAACACATATATCCACTCTTTACTTGAGAAAAAGCAAAACTTTAACACAAGTGAGATCCAAAGAGGGTAAGATATACGCAGACCTTACCTCTACCCCTTAGTAAAATTCTCTTTATTTCTACTTGCTATCTCCCACCAACAGAAGTACGAGATAATTCTGATGACCGATGCTTAGATAAATGGGAAGAACTCAACCAACTCCTTAGTGTCTACGTAAATTCAGACACCTCACATAGTTTTCAACCACTTCATTAAGCACCACTACATCGGATGACACGCCGTAGTAAAAGCTTCTCTTTTTTCCCCTTTTTTGGTGGCAGGTGGCCAAAATATACCGTGCACCAAAAGAAGTAACGGATAACTCAGTCCATCAATAATAAGGCAAATGGGAAGAACTCAAGAAGTCACCTTAACTCCTTTCGTTATGAAGATTTTGAACCTCATCTGTGTTTTTCACCCACCTCATTGACCACTAGATCAGTTGAAAACACCCTAATTAAAAAAAGTTGTAAATTCAGCTCTACAGGATGTACATGATTTTGCACTTTAGGCCAAAACCCCACCTCCTCTCCCATAAATAACCAAGCAACTAAACTACGTACAGAAAAAGACAAAAGGAATAGGAAAGTTGGAAACTTTACTCTTTAAACTTCTTCCTTCTCACTATATCTCTTCTCAAGATTCCCTGATTCATACTCCATCTCTTACATACTCGACATTTTTAAACTATAATACTTACCTAATATCTCTTAAAATGAAAGAAATGAACAGAATCTTCAAGTTTTAAGAAGGGTCCAACACATGCACAATAAAGAACAAGTTTTTATATCTTATCACATTAAAATAAAAACATTATCAACTAAAGCAACACTTTCCATAACAAGAACTTATAAAAATAGCTCACCTTCATCAGCAAGAACTGCAGAAACAGCTAAAAACAGCAAGAAAAGCAAAGATTTGTTAGTTTCCATTAAACCCCACTTGAGAAAAATGAAAAAGAGTGAGAAAATGAAGAGAAGAAGAAATAATAAAGATTAGAGAAGAAGAAATAATAAAGATGCTATCTTTGAACAAAGGGCAAGAAGTTAAAGTGTATATAGTGGAAAGAAGAGAATATGAAAATGTAAAAACAGAATCTCCAGAGAGAGAGAGAAAAGTAGAGGAAAACAGAGAGTGGGGCAAGAGTGAGGTGAAAAGGTATTAATTTGTAGTAGAAAGGAGAAGAAGAAGAAAGAAGAAGAGAGTTTTTTTTTTGTATATTTATTTTTTGGCATAATATATATATTAAATTTTTAATTTGACTTTAATTTTTAATTTTGACTTCAAATTTTCATAGTGCAAAAAAAATAAATATATATATATATATATATTTTATCGATCACATGGATTTCTTGTCAGAAATTGAAATATCTTCCTTTTTTTTCAATTATTTATCTATTTTGTATTCAATTAATTGATTCACGTATAAAATTTATCATATAAAAATTTTAGATGAAAAAGAAATAAGTGATCCCGTTATATAAATTTGAATAATACTCATCTTTTAAGCTAATTTTTGAATATTGAGTAAGGCTTAAACTTCGTTTCTTTACACAATATCAAAGTGCTCGATTTTATATTGATACTTGATTCTATATCAAGTCGTGAATATAAATAAGATTGGGTTATTAAAGAATTTTTGAAATATGAAAATACAAGTGTGTGTTTTTCATGAATCTGAACAATTTTTCTCTTGTAAGTTAACTTTTGGAATTCAACGTGTAATTATTGTATCTTTGTTTTTGTTTTTGCTTTTATTTTTTCTAATTTTATTTTACTATGCTTTTAAGTTTGAATTGGAGTTAGATAGATTCATTAATTGAAGGCACCTTAATTGAATGATGTAGTACTATTGGTTATTTATTTACTGTACAAAACAATCACTTTGAAGATTCTTTTAATCACATGAGAATATTGAAAACTAAATTTTGTAAGTTACTATTGAGTCATGCTATTATTATTATTATTATGATTAATTAACATAGAGAATTATTGTCCCAATAACAATATGGAAATGGCAAATCAGTGTGACCTACCAGTCAAATAATAAAACAATTAAAAAAAACAAGGTTTTAAATACAAGCCTAGCTTAAAAAAAGAAAAGGACATAGTAGCTTACTAGTTTTTGAGTAAATTATTTATGTATATTCTAACTGATCGTTTTTGAAATATATATAATGCAAGGTTAGAGCCTACTTGCGCCCAACATTTAAACCAAATTATATTTATTATAACTAAATTATATTTATTATGATTAAATAAATTTAATTTGTCATTGTGCTTTGAAAAAAGATTTATTTATATTATCTGTTAATAGTTTGATTCATTTATATTATTATGTTTGAGAAAAGACTCATCTATGTATTATTTCTCAACTAAAGATATTTTTTATTTTGTAAAATCATTTTTAACACATGGTTAATAATAACTAGACCACGTCATTAATTATATTATTTTTTAAAAAAGGAAAAATGTTCATATATGTCATTAAACATTGAGAAAAAAACTCATTTATGTCATTCGTTAAAAGTTTGGTTCATTTATGTTATTTCAGTTAACAAATTATAAAATGAATGAGCTTTTCTCAAACAAAATAACATAAATAAGCCAAATTTTTAATGAATATTATAAATGACTCTTTTTTCAATGTTTGATGATGTATTTGGACATTTGCTCTTAATTTTATACTTGAAGAGTTTAACTTCTAACAAAATAATAAAACATGATATAGCTTATACAAAATTATTATATAACTCATCTTCAAATTAGATACCAAACGATCTCAAATAAATAAAAAATATATCCGTAGAAACAAACAAAAGCACTTTGTATAGGTAGCCGTTAGAACTAGCTAGTAAATTTATCATGTTGTGCATATTTGTTTGTTTGTGTTTATCAATGCATTTTTTTGGTCATGTAAATGTCCTAGTACATCAGACTTCTTTTAAGACCAAAAGCAGACATAGACAGTCTAAAGTAAAAAAATAAAAAAATTGTACTTTGTAGAAAAAATTAAATTAATATTAAAATATACAGCTGGTTCCCAACGGTCATATTTATTTAATCTTTTAAATAAAATATGTTTAGACAATTTCATATGTAACTGCAATGTTTTTTTTCCTTTTTTCTCGTAGGATGTTCTAATGTTAACTTCTTCGAGGTGTAGGGGACTAGGGGTCAGAACTTTTTCATGGGAAATTTATTTGGTAGAAATGGATTTAAAATTTGAAGAAATTAATTTAAATTGAAAGTTTTTTTAAATAGTTTTTGAATAATATTAAAATTTGTGTGTATTTTATATTTCTATATTTTGCTTTTGAGAACATATTAGATTTGTAATTGTTGAATAGAAAAATTGTTTTTTGATAAAATATTATTCTCTTTTTCAAAATATATTTTGAGAAAAAATGCAAGAGTTCTAAAACTATGTTAAATATTAAAAAAAAATATTACAAAGATGGAAATGATTAACGGGGGAGTTTAGGAGTATTCGGTTAATGAAAACACAAAGTAATAATTTTAAAATATAATTTATGAAACTTATTTTATTAATTTATATGTACAAATTATTTTTCACATATTTAGAAATAGAACACACTAAACTCTATATACATAGTTTTTCCAGTCCTCGTGCAAAAACTATATACATAAACAATGTTTAATTTTTTTAGTAAATTACTCATAAGGTGTCGTAGGTAAGTTTTATTTGGTTTGGAGCATTGATTTTCATAACTAATAGGCTAGTTCTATCTCTATATTACCTGTTATAACACTTCGAAAATCCAAGACGTGTTCTAGAGCCTAACATGAGTGTCATAAGGTTTAGACATTGTTTTAAGGTCCATTTCTAATGAATATAAGTCATTTAGGAAGTCCAGGAACCAAAATGTCCAAGAACTTTCATGACGTCCGAAAAGTAGTTCAATGAGGTACTAGCGTGCTTAGCCTATTTGACTAGCTTTTAGGAGTCGAAAAATGATGAAAATTGGTGGAAGGGTGTCTATCATATATTTAAGTAGATTCATGGTCAAAACGTCCGAGTACGACTCTCTAATGACCAACCGAGGGCCCTTGAGGAGGACCTTTGCAAGTGAGGTCAAACATTGCCTGGGCAGTGTGCACCCACGAGAGGCAGACGACAGATCATGCGTTGGTCGATGGGGCGTCGATGCCATCCGTCGACCAACACTTATCCAAATCACAAGAGTCCTCATTTGCATAGTCTCTGACCAAGACTATAGATGTGCAGCACAGAGGGAGGGCATGGCCGTCGATGAACCAACAATCCGTCTATCGTGATCTCGTCGATGGGGCCTGCAATTTCCTGCATGTTTTTAAGTAAGTCATAACTAATTAATTAAGGGGTTTGGTGGTTAGTTAGGGATTAAGAGAAGCCTAATTAACTGAATGAAACCCCCCCCCCCCCCTCATATAAAGACTCTAACCCCATTAGACTAATTACAACTCACAAAACAAAACTCTCTTTCTTCTCTCTTCTTTCTCTCTCTATTGGAATACACCATTGAAGACCAAGATAGGGGAGGGTTTTGGGATTTCTTCCTTTTTCCCAACATTTTAGGTTTTGGTCGTTGAAGTTCTTTGAAGACGACTTGAAGAAGGCTTGGATCTCTTCTTCATCCAAGTAGGGTAGGTCCTCACTTTTCGAGGATGATGCCACTATCTAGCTTATGGAGTTTCTTTTTAGTTAAAGACTTCTATGGTTCTTTCTTTCCATTTAGTATGAAACACTTTATAGCCCATGTGAGGCATTCTTACTTTGATGTATGGGTTATTATGCCCAAGTTTTTACACTCTTATTAGATGGTTATGAGATGAGACGACTATTATGAATATTATGTCTATGTTATATTTTATGTACTTATGTGCAATAAAAGTAGAAGACTAAGTAATCTTCCTATACGAAGGGTCTATGTAAACTCGATATATATAGTGTTATCTGTATGTAGAGGTCTATGTAAGCCTCCAAGTAGAAGTAATGAAAATTTTTAAATTTTCTGCGTTTTTGACCTATGAATGTAATGATGTAAGCTAAGAGGATAGTTTTAGTCCTCAAAGAGGACGATGACGCCGGTTACGTCTAGGGGGTAAACCCGGATATGACAAACTTGCTTTTTGAGTATGAGGTTGAATATCTCTGAGTCAATGTCTCTCTCAACCACGTCTATGTAGATTTGTATTCATAATTGTGAAGCGCGCAACACTTATGAATAGGAATTTATGTGATGCTTAGGAAGCTCTCACTTTCTTAGAAATCCAATATCGTGACATTAGAGTATACTTATTGCGTGCTTTTTCATCTAATTCTACTATTGTGATTATAGGAAATAAACACTCGAAGGGATGCGGCCCAAATACTTGCTGAGGAGATTGCCAATGCAGGAGCTCCTCCCCGTGGTGATCAAGTTCCTCCTTTTGAGGAATATGAGAATGATGACCAAGCCCCGGTTAATCCTCCTCCTTTAACGGATGAGAACATAAGGTCCACTCTCGTGTGCTATAGCACACTATCTTTTTGGTGATTCGAGTTTCGACATCAAAAATGACAAAAAAAAATTGTGGACGTCCGTCAAGACCTTGGCTATGCAGCCAGTTGGCCCTCACGGCAATTTCGACCCATTTTAAGGTCAAACGAGCCCCGAAGCGTGCATACCCCACATTTCGACGATTTGGTGATTTGAATTCCGACGTCCAAAATGCCGAAATTTTTTGTAGACGTTAATCAAGACCTTATCTATGCAACTGGTTTTCTCTCTCTAACAATCCGACCCATTTTCAAGGTCAAACGAGCCCTGAAGCGCATACCCCTTATTTCAATGATTTTCGTGTGCTATAACACATCAATTTTTTGGTGATCCGGATTCCGACGTTAAAAATGTCAATTTTTTTGTGGACGTCCGTAAAGACCTTGACTATGTAGCCGATTGGCCCCTACATCCAGTCCGACCCATTTTCAAGGTCAGGCAAGTCCCGAAGCACGCATAACCCCCCACCCCAATTCAAAGATTTTCGTATGCTATAGCAAACCATTTTTTTGGTGATCAAATTCCGAAGTCAAAAATGTTGAAATTTTTTGTGGACATCTGTCAAAACCTTGGCTATGCAGCCGGTTGGATCTCACGGACAGTCCGACCCATTTTCTAGGCCAAAAGAGCCCCGAAGTGTGCATACCCCCATTTCAACAATTTTCGTGTGCTATAGCAAATCATTTTTTTCGGATCCAGATTCCGACGTATAAAATGCTTAAATTTTTTTTTGGACGTCCGTCAAGTCCTTGGCTATGCAGCCAGTTGGCTCTCATGAACAGTTCGATCCATTTTTAAGGTCAAACGAGCCTTGAAGTACGCATACCTCCAATTTTGACGATTTTTGTGTGCTATAGCAACCATTTTTTTTGTGATCCGGATTCCAACATTAAAAATGTCAAAAAAATTTGTGGACGTCCGTCAAGACCTTCTCTATGTAGCCGATTTGATCTTCCGAACAGTCTGACCCATTTTCAAGGACAAACAAAAGCCACAAGCGCATATCTCCTATTTCGACGATATTCGTATGCTATAGCACACCATTTTTTGGTGATCATGATTTCGACGTCAAAAATGCTGAAATTTTTTGCGGATGTTTGTAAAGACCCTGACTATGTAGTCGAATGACCTTCACAGAAAGTACGACCCATTTTAAAGGTCAAATGAGCTCGAAGCGCTCATACCCCTATTTAGACGATTTTCATATGCTATAGAACACTATTTTTTTGGTGATCCAGATGCCAACGTCCAAAATGCCAAAATTTTTTGTGGACGTCAGTCAAGACCTTGGCTACGCAGTCGGTTGGCCTTCACTAAAAGTCCGACCCATTTTAAAGGTCAAACGAGCCTCAAAGCTCACATACCTCCCATTTTGATAATTTTCGTGTGCTATAACACGCCGTTTTTTTTTGGTGATCCGAATTCCAACATCAAAAATATCAAAAGATTTTGTAGACGCCCGTCAAGACCTTGGCTATGAAGCCGGTTGACATTTACGGACAATCCGACCCATTTTCAAGGTCAAATGAGCCCCGAAGCGCGCATACCTCCCCCCCCCNCCCCCCCATTTCGACGATTTTCATGTGCTATAGCAAATCATTTTTTTCATGATCCGATTCCGACGTCAAAAATGTCAAAATCTATTGTGGACGTCCTTTAAGACCTTCGCTATGCAACCGGTTTGCTCTCCCAGACAATCTGACCCCTTTTCAAGGTCAAACGAGCCCAGAAGCGCGCATATCTCCCATTTCAACGATTTTCGTGTGAAGCACTCCATTTTTTTTATGATCCGGATTCCGACGTTAAAAAGGCCAAAAAAATTTATAGACATCCGTAAAGACTATGTCAAATACAACCTATCTACACATTACTCTTTCCAAACTTCACTACAAATATAATTGCATAAAACTATATGGGCAATTACTAAAGTCAAAAGTTGAGTGACTTTCTCATTGTAAGGTCATAATGTACAAGAGGTACAATTTTTATTTTTAACGTATATATTTGCTAGCCTAATGTATAAACTAACTTAAGCCATGCACCTATTATTTTTCTTATATGTTACATAGTTTTTATACAGTGTTATAACCTCTCTCCCAAAGTACAATTCAAAAAAAACCTACATACAACTCTCATTATTTGTTCTCACTTTACAAGTTACTTGAATTCTTCCCTTCTTGTTTAACTTGTTGGATTCTGTGATGTAGCCTTCTCCGATGATCATGGATTTTCCACAGTCCGTGTCCAAGAATTACGGCAGAGTATATTCCATGTGTGATTATAGGTGCAAGAATGTTGTTTGTCTGTTGCATCCACAAGAACAAATAAGCTATAGTTACCCAAATTTCCAGTATTGAACTCACTGTAACTTTTAAACTATTGAGTTCAGAAGCGTTGAAACCTTAGTGGTTTTTAAGCATATGTGTCTACCCTCCTGAATTCTTTGTAGACAGTAGAGAATCCATCATTTAAACTTGATGAATTCAATCTTTAAGGTTTTTAGCATTAAAATAATCAATAGTACTTATGAAACTATGAGTTCAAAAGTTGATATTCGTTGAAACATCGTGGTTTTTTCTTTAGAATCCAATATTTAAACTTTGACTGACTCAATATTTTAAAATTTTTAGCACTGAACTCATCGTAGTGATGAAAGAATGAGTTCGGAAGTCGGTATTCATTGTAATTTTGGTGGTTTTTCACGTATGTTCCTACCCTCCATATCGACGATAGTAGATTTAGTTGAACCCATATAAACTCTCGAGTCAAATTAACACAAACTGGAAATTCATGTTACCTGGATCCATTCAAACCCAAGGTAAAGGGCTAGTATTGCTTCCAGTAGAGGAGAATAAATCTTCTTCATCTGCCGCCTCTCGTACCAAGCTGCAAAAACATTCAGGTAGAGGTAAGCAAGAAATTAACACATCACACAATAATATGAGCTGGACGTTTCCAGTACTAACTATTCAAGATTATTTTCGTTAAAATGCACTCATAATAATTAACTCTGCTTCCATTCTCTCCTAGGTCTCTTCTGGTGATATCCTTAACACAAGGGAGACTCCATATATGGTAACACCTGTGTCTTTGGTAACAAGGAAAATGTTTTCCACTGTAAAGTACGCAGAAAATAGTCTCGAAAATGTTTATATATAATCTAGAAATACTATGAGGGGTGAGGGCTATGAGTGATGGGTTTGGGATGAGGTGTACTACATGATGGGAAGGAATAGAACGTCACTTATGGAACTTGTTTCTACTTCCACAAGGGAAGTCATTTTCTTCATCTTTAAAGAACTTATTTCTTATAGAAAATGTTTTTCAAAAATTTTTACCATATTATCACAGGAAAATTTTCTAGAAAATGGTTTCCTCGTACCAAACATCCTCCCAGAATGAGAAGTAGGTCCCTTATTTATGGTAGGGAGGGTTCTACCCTTAGCCTAAGTGGTATCATGTATTTGTTATAAATTTAGATAGCTATTCTTATACTGAAAGGCTTGAGAAGTCCCAATGGAATAAGGGGAAGCATGTCTTTGTCACACTCCTTGCCTCCCAAAGGTGCCTATAGACGGGCAAGATGCAGCAGATCGACAACTTGGAGGCATGTTTAGAATTCTTGCAACATAACTATGATATAAAGCTTTTTGCTTGCTGACAAACCCTATGTCTTTCTTTGATCCAAACTCACTCGTGACTTTTATTTTTGTTGGTCAGCTGGTAGAACAGACTAGGCTAAGGGAGATACTTCATCTTTTCTATTCCTAGTTGATATCAGCTGTCAATCCTTTATGTCTCATTAGCTTTAGTTCTCATAGCATTATGTTAATTAGGTTTTGAATGCCATGAGTGAGCATTGTCTTAACTTTGCCATGAGCAGAGAAGAGGGGTCAAACCTGCAAAGAGTTTTTTCAGATCTTCACGGCCTGAACGCGACTTCAGCACTGGTGCAACAACATAGGTAGGATCTGAAAGTGAAAACAACAAACAGCCAAGTATTGTGATTAAGCATGCAAGAGCAGAGGACAAGGAAAGATCTCAAAATGCAGCCTATGAAACAGACCTTTTGGAGAAGCAGCCATATAATATAAAGAACCAGTAAGAGCTGCTGTCATTACAGCTGCAAATGCTTGAGCAAATGGTACATAAGGTGGCAAAACACCAGTCTACAGTTCAAGGAAACAGAACGTGTCAATTCATCAGAAAAATTTGGATATTTTGTATCTTGGGAGTCTGAGTATGTTGCTCGGACTCTTCAAAAACATTGATGCATGCGTGTCGGATCCTCCAAAAGTAGTGCATTTTTTGAGGATCCGACATGGGTGCAACAACATTTTTGGAGAGTCCAAGTGATAATTGGAGAAGGATGTTAGAAATAGAATCCTTACCAATGATGCCATCCCTCGAGCATCAGACACCAAATCAGTGCTCCTTACGAAAATGTCAGCCAAAGCTCCCTATAAGTGCAAATGTAGTCAGATAAAGCGGCAGAAAAAATTAATACCCCCCCCCCCTCTTAAGGGTTTAAGTACAATAGTCAAAACATCTAATTTTCATGTGAGTTGTACATCGAATCCCTTAATATTCTAAGAAATAAAATTTACAGATTCAGAAACTAAACAAAAGTACTCTTATATTACAGTTTTTAATAGTAGAAAGAAAAATTTAGAACCTATTTGAACATGTGTAGTCAGAACTGTTTGAATAGCAAATAATAGTACCATAGGTATAAATGGGATAAAGAAAGAAAACTTTTCTGACATGTATTTTCTTGGATCTTTCTCAATTTTAAAAGGCTACTGTGTAGATAATAGAAACCAAAAATAATAGAAGCTTAACCAAATGAATTTCATTTCAGGTATATGCTTTTAGATGATGAGAAATGCTGGGTTTGCACTATCAACAAAGGAATACTTAAAATGGAAGGCACAAATAAAAAAGTCAGTTCAACCTTTTGTGTGAAATAGAATAGATCATCTACACTAACCTGAACAGCAGCACGGTAGAAAAGTTCCTCTCCAACAGAGCTAGCAGCGACAATCAGAATGAACTACAACGTTGCAACACAATCTATTAACCTTTCCCTTTTTTGCAACATAACTGCTGATGATGAAAGTAATAGATGTTTTACCTGCCAAGGTGACATTCCATAAAAGAAGTTCCGTAGCTCTTCATCCTCAACATCCCTGATTGCTCGCGCATGAGGAGATAGCTTCACAACTTCATCCTATTAACAACATGATTTGTTATAAAAAATAACTATATAATTCAGGAACCTCAGATGGACAGAGCTAGAATGGCTACAATATATAAGGCTAATATTTTTGCATTTTCACACTAAGAGTTAGTGAAGGCAGTGTAGATAGAAAAAACTAAGCCAGGTAAAGATGCTAAAAATGTTGTTAGATGCTCTAAAGAAAATGGATCTTCAGCTCAACTTAACATAAAAATTTAGCTTATTAAATGAGGATCATCCAAAACAATGTAAGGAGACAACAGACGATTTCCTGAACCAATGTGGGACATTTAACACCTCTAGCACGCCCAAGATTAGACATCTGGTTGTGGTCCTTGTGGATAATATAACACAAGGGTCTAGTATTGGGTAAACCAAAAGCAAGGAGAGTCTTGCGTTTATAAATCGTGAAAAAGGGACCTTTAAACTAACTCAACACCGAGAAATAGCTTATAAGGTAATTACGGTGACAGAAAGATAAATGGGAAAAGTTGAACATACATCTAGTATAAATAGAAGAGCCATAATGGGTGGAACTGCATATCCTAGTCCTTCAACAATGGCATCTAATGATGGACTGAACCCTCCTGTGCAGTCAATTCCAGATATTGAGCATATGAACTTTCCGGCTAAAGCCATTGCTCCATAGATGCCTGAGTTCGTGAACAAACTGAACATCAGAATATGATTACAGGACTTCATTTTTCGTCTGTAAACCTATCCAAAAAATCTAATAGGATGGGACTCGTAGAAGGCTGGAAGAAACATATGCAACAAATATATGTAAATAAATACATAAATACATTGGATCAAAAAGAAATGACTGTCTAACTATTTTGGTTTAACTATTTAGCATTCAAAGCCAACTAGAATGACTAATCTGAATTCATCTATGTTGAGCCCATTCAAAGACTAAAGACGCTCTTTACTGACAGGTTCCCTGTTTTAAGGGGGAAAATTTGAGATCTTAGTTAAACGTAAATGGATCTCACAAGTGTCGGGGCCATAAAATTTTCCAAGAAAACATTTTCCTTCGTACTCTTAACAAAGTTAATTTCCAAAATTTCTCCTAAAAGGGTCATCCAGACATATTTTGTTTTAAACTTTCTAAAATTTTCTGCACACACTAATATTGAATGTGGGCAAGTTTTTACCCCCTTATCATATTATCTTCTTACTTCGTGGCCTCATTTCCTAGTCAAACAATTTAGATCTCTTTTTCACTGGGAGATTTATTAATAGCCAAGCATGAGTAAAGCCTAAAATTTTATCTTCTATTCTTTCCCAAAGATTTATATTTACAGTACTCCTTACTACTTCCCTACAATCCTCTCCTGACATGAAACAAAGTACTTTCTCCATCCCAAACTATACCATGCACTTTTGATAGGTATGAAGTCTTTTAAAAAAAGGAAGATTTCTAGGATTTATGATTAAATAAGTTATTACTTATATTATGAGATTACACATTCTCGGGTATCTTGAAAATATTAAAATTAATATTTTTTAAAAAAATAAATAAAAAATAATAAATAAATAAATAAATATATATATATCAAGGGTACCACCTACCATGTGAGTATGTGACTAGAAACATGATTAAAGGAACTACAAAGTGTTTATATACTTAGAGAGAAGAAAATCTTAGCCCTTCCACTTTTAGAAGCACTTTAATGACAAACAGAAAGCAAAAATATATATATGCCAGAAAAATCCTTTCCCTTTACTTGAAATTTCTCTATCACTAATAAACTCACTTTCTTAGAATAATTTTACTCATCATAACTTAAAACGTCTGAACTATATGTATATGTAAATTTTGCAACCTATGTATGATGCGTGGTCCTTCTCGTATTATTGATTCTTTTCATTTTCAAAGTGTATGTTGCTCGCACCATTCAAAAATATCTTTAGATGCATGTAAAATCTTCTAAAAATGCATTATTTTTGGAGAGTCCAAGTAATGGTGCTTTGAGAATGAAAAGAATCAATAATATGATAGGCAACACACATCATGAATGGAATGCAAAATCATTTTAAATCTCAAACTCAAGCCCAATTCCAACATCTTTCATTCATGAAATTTCAACAATTTATGTTTATGGATTCTGAATTTTAAGACAGGACAATTTACTATATTCGTGCTTTATAATTTATCAACTGATTTTACCAAAAATGCATAAATTGTGTAAAAGTTAGGAAAACGAACTAACCGATTCCATAACTGAGTCTGACAACAGCACCGATTTTCTCCCAAACGGGTAACTGCGCATCACTGAAGCTCTGGTTGAATGTAGTCACCTCCATAGTAGACCCCGTGAATCCTACTCCTCCATTTTCACCCTCCCGAATTTCAACTGATGAAGCCTCGCCGGTACTTGACTTCTCCGCCATAGCTTTAATTCTCACTACCGAAAATTTCTCATTATAATTCCTCTTATCTCGATAATTGTTTCTAATCGGAAAATCGCATAAACTCACTTTACATCCTAAAAACGACGTCGTCGATGGAGTATTCGTACATCGAGCTATCAACGGAAATTCCATATTTACAAAACACTCCGGTCTAAACTGACAAGCGAATCGGAAAATGAGCAAGCGGCGTCGTTTCAGCTGTTAGAAGTTTGCTTCAGCTGCTTCTCCGGCGTTGATTCGCGGCAATAAAGTTGTCGTTTCAGCTGCTTCTCCGGTGTCGTTTCACCGCGATAAATTTGTTTCAGTTAACTCACCGGCGTCGTTTCACCAAGACAAACTTGTTTCAGCTACTTCTCCCACGTCGTTTCACGGAGACAAGGTTATTGTTTCAGCTGCTTCTCCGGCGTCGTATCACCGTGAGAAAGTTGTTTCAGCTTCTTCTCCGGCTTCGTTTCACGGCGAGCAAGTTGCTTCAGTTTGTCCGCCTTCTTCTTCGGCGTCGTTGTGCATATAGTAGTGAAAAAAGTTTTTTTGGAAAATTGAATTGAATGACAGCCGTAGATTTTTATAATTTAAAGTCAACGTTGTTTTCTGATTTGATGTGATAGTGTAATGAACGGTCTCGATTTGCGGGAGGCTGTAAGGTGGGGGTCCAGCTATATGTGTGACTGTACTTTAAAAGGAATATCTAGATGTCCAATGGAAATGTGCCACGTGGAGATAAATGATATATTCTATGGACAAATTGGATAGATGGAGATTTTTGGGATAAAATTCCAATCAATTTTTAGGACCTCTATAAAAAAAAAAATTAATTATACACATGTACCCTTAAATTTAAGAATATTTAAGTTTTTTGGCTGGACAATTGTCTTTTAAGAAACTTCTTGATCTTGTTTGTATATTACCAAATAATCATAGTCACATTTGGCTATCAATTTTTGTTCATATTTTAACCATTTAAAAATGATAAATTATGTCAACGTCGTTCGTGAGCTTATAAAAAAAAATTCAAGCATTATTATTTGATACTTGAAATTTCAAATAATTGAAATATGACACCTAAGTATAATTTTCATAAGAATGATACTTAAAATTTCAAATAATTTTTCCTCACTCTATTGCCGATCTTTATTAAATTATATTATATTAACATTGCTTTCAAAATATTCAATATACGCTAGTAGTGTGTTGAGCTTGTTCACATGGATAGTAGTCCTAGATGAAAGATGGGATTAAGGACTATAATAAACTCTATCAATATAAAACTAATCGATTTATGAGAAAACTTCAATATTAAAACCTTAAAATAATTGGTTTAGATGTGTATAGAATTGTTCAAAAAAGAGGAGAGATTTATGGGAAAATCTTAACAATTTTAGAAAAAGTCTTAACATAAAAGTTCAGATTTATTTTACACCTTAACAATTCCAATAAATAAATGCACAACTAAACAAGTAAGAAAACCAAAAATCATTTCTCCTCTCAAGTATGGATCCTTTAGATTCTCTTGTTGTAAGTTTATTTCTCGAAACTTATCATCTTTAATTTGGTATAATATATATGAGTTTTTTTATATTCAATGCTTAGTATCTGTTTTAGAATCCTGGCTAAGTGTACTTATGAGTTTATCGAAACGTGTATACATACTTGTGATATTTTTTTATATTCTATCGATAGTTTTTATTATTACAATCCAACTTTAACAACTAATGGATCCACTCTACAAATACCATCAAATCTCAATTTCGGAGATATCACATCAGCCCTATCACCACTAGTTCTAGGTTATGAGGTGACATGTAAGTTTTGAGACTTGATTTATCTTATGTTTATTAATTAAAGTTTACTTTCAAGAATATTATCATTCTCTTAATCTTCTTTAAGACATTAAATCTCTCGACTCGTCACATAAGGCCTACTTATCTCCCTATATCATGTTGTTTTGTATGATTGGGGATTTTAGCTAGAGACATTTTGCTTATGATTTTAAAAAGATTATATCTATCCCATTATAATTTTTTATGGTGTATAATTATGATAACGTTTTTCATTCTTGTTATATATACTTTTTATAACTCTTATTATTTTGTTTATTTATTTATTTATTATTTAAAGGTAAAACGTATTGAAAAAAAAGAGCAGTTGAAAAAGAAAATAATTAAAAGTCAGAAATCAGTTTCAATATGCTGCAAAGGAGAAGGGAAATTTGTTCCAATGAAAGTGGCAATTCAAGAAGCTTCATCCAAAAATTCACTATTGGAAAGAATTAATTCTCTTGAGACTCGACTTTTTCAGGTAAAATATTTTTTTTCAATTTATTTATTTGAATTTTAATTTTTATCTAAAAAAATTTAGTTATAAACGATCACATTTTATTAAAATAACACATTGATGTTTATTGATTATTCTTAACACTCCAATACAAATTATGAGATTAATTTCACCAATGATCATTTAATTTTTTATTTTATTTCACTAAGGTTGTTAAGTTAATTTTATAATTAAAAAATCATTTAATCTTTTACTATTATCACAAAACTTCACTTAGTAATTATTTGTAACAAAAAATTGTCTAAGTATCAATATTATATATGCATGTCCACCGTTACCGTGATTTCTTTTATTTTCTCTTTTACGACCTTTTAATCAATCGTCTCAAGTTTGAATTATGAAAATATATATTTTTGATAATAATATCGATACAAATATAAATTAGTTAAATTTATCGATAAAGTTCATGATTAAAATAATAAATTAAACTAACAAAAAAAATAAGAAGCTCAAATCTTAATAGTATTATATAAGTTGCAGTGATATATAACTAATCATATTTATTAATGCAGCTGTGCCTGGAAATTGAAAATGCAAGAACATCATGCAGCTCTTCATCAAATACACAGACTCCATTTGCAGAAAAATCAAAAAATAATGATGCCAAGAGACAAGCAGCTTCTTCTTATCCAATTTTTGATTTTTCACAGGTAATTTTGTACATCTAAATTTACATTTTATGTATCGGCATAAATATGTTACATATCAAGTCTGATATAGAATGTGGTACAGTCCGTGAAATTTTATTAAATTATCAATATATAATTAAAAAATTTTCTTTTTATTTTGCTATAAAAATAATCTACATATTTAGTCTTCTGCTTTACTAATTAATCTTGTTTTTAATGGACGGTTACTTATAAAAGATACATATTATTTCTTATATATATTGAATGTAAATAGTCTCTTTTTTTTTTCTTGTAGAAACAATCTCATAATTTGGCACAAGATTTGGAGCAATCAACATGCATGAAGAAAACGAAGAAGCCATTGCATTTTGGGAGAAGCAAAAGTACTAAAGATGTTGAAAATATTACAAGTAAAAATGGGAAGAAAAAAAGTTTGAAAGCAAGTTGGCCACATCTCAGGATCTTAGGTTGCTAATAACTACTAAAACTATATTCCAATTTTAACCTTAATTTTGTTAATGAATTTTGGGAGAAAGACATATATATGTATTTTGTGTCTTGCTAATTTATTTAATTCCATTTATATATAGCTAATGTGTTTGATTGAACACCTGAAATGTAAGGTGCCTTTGATTTGAAATAATTAACTTCCATTCCTAACTCGAAGAAGAATTAGTCCGCCCCTCAAATAAGTATTAAAGGATATTAGGAAGGGCTCAACTTCAAAATTTCGAAATAAAATTATATTAGTAGATAACACTTTACCCTTAAAGCAAGAATTTTTAATTAGTTAGGAATGAACCAAATAAGAATGACCAAAAAATACAAACAAGAACCGAACATCGAACGAAAAATGACAACAAAAAACAAACAAGAACCGAACATCAAATGAGAAACGACAACAAAATACAAAGAAGTACTAAACATCGAATAAAAAATGACATAAATAAAAAATACGAATAGCATCGAATGAGAAATGGTGAAAAAAGATGATGGGGTGAGAGAGGCTCGAACTCTCGACCTCAGGATTTCTCAGAAGCTATGAGACCTACGCGCTAGCCAACTGCGCCACCACCCCAATTGTTCACTAACTATCACATATTATTATTTAATCCTAGAAGTTAAAAACTTTGTCAATAAACGCCATCGTTCTTGCTCTATCTTCTTACATGTCTAGGGTTTTTCACATCTTCCCCTCTTTCATCACCAAGCAAACCCCTCATTCAGGTACTAATTTTTTTGCCCTTTCATAGATTTTTGTTTTTTTGAAGTGTTATTCTCTTGTTTAAGAGTTCTTTCTTTGATTATTGTCATCTAATTACCCAATAATTGAAAAAAATATATTAAAAAGTGAGAAAAAGGGGTAAAGATGAAGTCTTTTTAGTGTTTCTTCAACTGGGAAGTTACAAAGTTAAGTTAGTAAATCTTGATTTAAGAATGGAAGTTAAAAACAATGGCAAGTAGTGTTATGTTAGAGTAGTTTGTGCTTTATGTTTTACAACATGTACCTTGTATTTGTGATATACTTGCTCTTTTTGGTTGCTGCTTCATTCTTTGAATCAAATCTTGTTTATGCTATCATGTGTTTTTTGCCCTTCCTATAGTTTTTTTTTGTCTTGTTTATAAGATTCTTTCTTTTGGTTCCTATTTGCCACATAAATTGGGGGAAACAGTGAGAAAAAGGGGAATTTTTGAGTTTTTTTTTCACTGCAAGTTGCAAACTTTCACTTACATTGATTATGAGTTGAGGTTCTTTGGTTATTGTGTCTTCATTAAGAACGAAACTTGGTAACAATGGGAGTTAGTGGTATGTGAGAGCAGTTTGTACTTTATGTTTTACAGCTTGTACCTTGTATTTGTGATATGCTTGCTCTTTTGGTTGCTGTTTCATGCTTTAACTCAATCTTGTTTATGCTATGATGTGATTTTTACATTTCCCATGGGTTTATTTTCCGAAGTATTGTTGTCTTGTATGTTGAATTGTTTCTTTTGATTCAATTTTGTCTATTCGCCCTGTAAATTGAAAAAAAAAGTGAGAAAGAGGGGGTAAAGATGGAATCTTTAGTCTATTTTCAACTGCCTAGTTACAAACTTTGACTTGTGTATGAGCTAAGTTTCTTTAGTTACTGGTACAACAACATACCTAGTGTAGTCCCACAAAGTAGGGTCTTAGGAGGGTGGAGTTTTTGCAAAGTAAAGAGTCTTTTTCCAATAGACCCTCGGCTCAATAATTCTTTTGTTATTAGGTCTTGACTAAAATGATTGAGGATTATAATCAAGGGTCTTAATGGAACTTATGAACAATAGGGGTAGTGGTATCTTAGAGTAGTTTGTACTTCATGTTTACAGATTGTACCTTGTATTTGTGATGTACTTTTGGTTGCTGCTTCATGATTTAACTAAATCTTGTTTATACCGTGATGTGATTTTTCCCTTTCTTATAGAGTTAAGTTTTTCTTATAATCGTGCTTCTAATTCTTCTTTTCTCTTGAGACGTGAGTTTATCAGAAACAACTTCTTTACCCCCATAAACATAGTGGTTAGGTTTGCGTGTACCTTTTGCAGAACCCACTTGTGGGATTGCTCTGGGTAGGTTGTTATAGAGTTCATTTTTTCCTGGATTATCATTCTCTTGTTTATGTCCATTTTATCATTTTCTTTTCTTGAATTGAACTTGCCTCTATTCAGCCCATGAATAGAAAAAAGTGAGAAAAAAGGGCAAAAAGTGCAATCTTTTTCTTTTTTATTTCATTGGGAAGTTGCAAAAATGCTTTAGTACTCGAATCAAGGTTCGTAGGAACTTATCAAGTACAATACAAGAGAACAATGGAAGGGAGTGGTGTAAGATTAGTTTGTACTTTTTACAGCTTGTACGGTGTATCTGTGATGCGCTTTCTCTTTTGGTTACTGCTTCATGCTTTTTAAGTACTTCTACAAATTCCATTATTTGCTCAACAATTCAATTTCTTAGAATTACAATCATTAAGTCAATCTTAATGCTGTAATATAATATTTGCCCTTCATACATAATTCATTTTTTTTCAAAGCATCGTTCTCTTGTTTAGGTACATTTTTTTCGTTGCCTTTGTTTAATTGGAACTTCCCCCTATTCAGCCCTATAGATGGGAGGTAAAAGTGAGGAAAGAAAAATGCAAGATGCAAATAATTTCATGTAGAATAGTAGTTGCTTGTTGGACCAAATTCTCGTGTGAATTCGCGGAGAACTAAATGGATATCATATGTATGCAGTCGTTAGGTTGACCTCTCTTATGTTGTGGATTTTCTTTCTTCTTCTTTTGCTATCTGCATGTAGTGATTCAAGACAAATAAAAACTTTCTGAAGATCTAATTTTAACTTTTCTGGAAAAAAAGTCTCAGGTGAATTTTCCGACATGGCTATCGTCAATGATGAACGCGAGTTTGAGGAAGAAACAACTCATGAAGATCTCCAAGAGTTTGACGAAGATGCGGAAGTGGACGCCGAGGACGATGATGACGAGGACGATGATGATGAAGACGGTGATGAGGATGATGATCAGGAGGAGAAAGAGGTCATACAGAGCTCTGGCAGTGGTCCACAAGTTCACTCTATAGATGATGATGAGGAGGATGAGGATGAGGATGATGAGGACGATGAAGGTGACAGTGATGATGATGACGACGACGACGACGATGATGAAGATGATGAAGATGAGGAGGAAGGTGAAGAAGAGGGAGATCTGGGCACGGAGTATCTTGTTAGGCCAGTGGCACGTGCTGAGGATGAAGAAGATGCTAGTGATTTTGAACCAGAAGAAAATGGCGAGGAAGAGGGTTTTGAGGAGGAAGAGGAAGAGGATGATGATGAAGACACTAGCGGAAAGGTGGAGGCCCCGCCAAAGAGGAAGAGATCAAGCAAAGATGATGACTCTGACGATGATGATGGCGGAGAGGATGAGGATGAGGATGATGAGAGACCATCTAAACGATAGTCGATAGGCCCTATATAGTATAGAGGTCAATCCCCCTTCATGTATGATGGATGATGGTTCTTGTAGTCCTTAGTTCTAATCACTGTTGGGATTATGACACCATTTTAGTTTAGTTTAGTTTAGTTTAGTTTAAGAACTTTGGTTCAAGATTTTTTTTTTAATTGTATGTGTTGGTGTTTTTTAGTTGTTCAACTCTGTTTGGTCTGCTATTTTGGTGCAAGTATTTATATATGGTGGGCTTAGTTTAAACACACTTGAGTTTCGTTACCTAGAATCATTATTATAAGAAAAATCAATTTTTATTGGACAAGTTAGCAGCAAGTACTTGAATCTTTTCTTTTTCCTACTTTAATGTTCTAGGTCCTGCCTGAGTTTCTTGCTCTCTTTGGTAATAAAAGGGTAATTAATATATGAAGTGATGTTGTATTTGTTTTGGTAAATACGAATAGCATCGAATGAGAAATGTTGAAAAAAGGATGATGGGGTGAGAGAGGCTCGAACTCTCGACCTCAGGATTTCTCAGAAGCTATGAGACCTACGCGCTAGCCAACTGCGCCACCACCCCAATTGCTAACAACACACCATTTACGTATTTTCTCATCATCAATCTTTTCAACTTCAAAAGGACAAGAATTTTTTGGCCCAAAAACACCATTGTTCTTGTTCTATCTTCTTACATGTCTAGGGTTTTCACATCTTTCCCCCCCTTTCATCAACAAGCAAACCCCTCATTCAGGTTTGCCCTTTCATTGATTTTTTATTTTTTTTTATCAAGTATCATTTTCTTGTTTATAGAATTCTTTCTGTGAAAAAAAAAAAGTAAGTAAAAGAGGCAAAGATGGAATCTTTTTTTCACAAGGAAGTTGCAAACGTTCACTTTCCTTAATTATGGGCTGTGTTTGCTTAGTTTGATTAAAAATGCCTTAGGATTCTAATCAAAAGTCTTAATGGAACTTCAGAAAAATAGGAGGTAGTGGTGCTATGTTAGAGTAGTTTGTACTTTATGGTTTACAGTTTGTACCTTGTATTTTTGATAAACTAGCTCTTTTGGTACAAGGTTAGCAACAGTTTGTGTGACCTTTAGGCCACGGGTTCGGTTAGATTGTCTAACATCACACCTCCTTGAAGTTTGGCCCTTTTTGGATCTTGCTAATGCGGGTGCACTTTGCTCTTTTGCTTGCTGCTTCATTGTTAAACTCAATCTTCTTTATGCTGTGTTGTCATTTTTGCCCTGCTTATTTTTCCTAAAGTATCATTCTCTTGTTTGTTATCTTACTCAAAATTGAACTTGCCCTTATTCACCCAATAAATGGAAACAAAAGGGGAAAAAAGGGCAAAATGCAATCTTCTTTTTTTTGGTTTCAATGGAAGTTGCAATCTTTCACTCACCTTTGTTCTAACCTGAGTTTCTTTAGTTATTTAGCTTGTAGACGCTATGCATGTGCAAAAATAAGTTTTTTTTTTTCACAAACCATGTTGGAGTATTGAGTCTTGATTAGAAATGCTTTAGGATTTTATGAAGCGTCTTTTATAAACTTTTCAAAACAAAACAAGAGAACAAAGGGAGGTAGGGGTATGTGAGATTAGTGTGTACGTTATGTAAAGAGTAATTATGCTATTTACAGAAGATTTGGAGAGATACTTGTCAAACTATCTGGAGAAATGCTTGAGCATCTTAAAACAAAACTGCAATCAATATGAAATTGGCAGTCAGGAAGCAGCTTCTTTTGTGAAATGGGAATTTGTGAGCATTTTGTATAAATGAATAAATTTTATAAACTATGATAAGCAACTGTATTTTTCCCGGTGATGAGTTTGGATTTCCGAATCATTATCATTTAAATATTTTAGTAATTGAGCTTCCGTGTCTAAGTCAATGTGTTAAAATTTAATTACAATTTGTATTCTGTGAAGCAATATGAAGCCCTACTGGCACGCAAGTTTTGGTTAAGATGTGATGATTGATTTTTTTTTTTGGTACAGGACGTGTCTGAAGTCTGCCTGTCATGGTGATGTGTATTAGTTCTCTGTAGACGCTGCTTAACAGTTAAAGAATTGCACACTACGTTAACGTTGGCCTCAAGCGCTGCATTGCACATGAGGTTATTGTTTTGTAGTATTTTGCCTATTGGGGTTTTTAAGGGGGAATAGTTCTCTTTAGCCATCATATCACTATGTTTTGCAAGATGAATGGCTTAATCTGTATTGACGTGTCTGCGGAAATGATAATTTTCAGTTGAGTATAACTAGGTATTCCTCTGAGGGTATTTATTCAGGGTCCCTAGGAGATTCTGTCGTTTTATGCTGAATAGCAGATAAGATTGCCAAATACAGCTTTCTCCTGCAGACCATGAACCCGAAACTCCTGTACTCTCCTTGGAGTAGATAAATTCAGGGTTTCCCCGAGTTAAATTGATGTCAAAGTAAGCACTTTGTTGTCTGATTCACTATCTGAGATGGTTAAGACATCATATATTTGTACTGTTCTGTGAGGTTCTTCCTTGGAATAAACAAGTATTTTACCGTGTGAAGAAGTTTGTCTGCAAATGCTGGTTTCTTGTTAGTTTGAACCGATAATTGAACTTCAAGAATGGATGTTCCTGTGAAGAAACCTCAGGATAATGGGCCGAAAACCTTAGTCAGTGATGACATTTTGGCTAAGAGGCTAAAAAATCGGGAGCGTCAACGCAGATATAGAGAAAGGAAACGTCTTAAAGCTGATAGTATGAAGGTGTTGGGCACAAACCAGCTAGTTTCATTGCCAGTGGGGGTGCCCGTGATTGTTTCTCCCCAGGATAGTACACTGCCAGTGAATGTGGCTTCGCTGGACTCTTCGGTTCCAGTAGAAGTTGCTCCGCTGGACTCTTCAATGCCAGTGAATGTTGCTCCTCTTGCCTCTTCAGTTCCAGTGAATGTCACTCCCCGGGCATATGTAATGCCAGTGGATGCTTCTTCCCGAGAGTCTGTCACCCGTGTTTACTCCGGGCGAAATTGGAAAAGGGATGCCCGAAAGGCCCATGTTGCCAGGCAGAATGAAGTTAGTACTAATAATACGGTTTCTCCAGATTTAGCTTCAATTGGTGAAGGTCAAGCAACATTACTTACCCACGTTGAACAGTCAGATGTCGCGATGAGTGATGTTATTTCTTCACCTGTGACTGCATCGGAAAATATCGGAACACCCAAATCTATTGCCAGCAGGAGAAATTGGAAAGCAGAAGCTAGAAATAAGAAGAGCTGAAATTGTTGACAATATGTTAAGGTCAAGTATGTCACAGAACATTATCAATTGTTAGCAGCCTTTTGCAATATCATTATGTACAACATTGGATGGACGGATGAACTTTGAATGATATTGTAAGTGTTCCGTTCCTTCTTTCCCCTTTAATTTTGTTCTACTATAAAAAACATCTTAGTTGTATACGACTATATTTTTAGACCTTCCATTCATACCCTTGTTAGCAAATCGTCTCTATTTGTCCTTGACCTTAATGGAGATCCAACCTAAAGTGTTATGGTGGACAATTTTGAACCATAGTTACAAGTAGAGGTGTAAATCTGGACCTTTTTAGCAATGTTTTTTGACATGTGGATTACACTCAATCAATGCTGGAGCTCTGTTAAAGTCAAGGGCAAGTATGAAACGATCACAACGGAGGGTAAATTTGGACCTTTTCCTATTACTCATTAACTGATGCAATTGCAGATATCGGATGCCCGACTTACACGGCTCTTATTTTTTGCTTCTGATTAAACAAGTGAGAAGATCCTGACCATTGCTAACGTCCAGGTTTGTCAGGTATGAAGTTAGGTTTTAGAGTAACTTTAGGATACTTTCTTCCAACGAAATGAATCTTCATATATTTCACGAGACTCGGACGATGTGTTTCTGTACATATATGTTGTACGTGGATAACTCCACTTGTTGGAATTACACTGGATATGTTGTTTTTTTGTATCTGTTGTATGTGGATCGATCATCCCTTGTGCGGTTTATCATTCAAGAAACATTTCACAGTTTGAATTTTGCATATGGTTCTGAGTTTGATTAAGGGAAGTATTTATTGATTATGATTGCACAAATACTATTATAGCATAAAATTAGGCTAGACCAGGCTATATTTAGTGGCGGAGTCAGAATGTTGATCAAGAAGATTAGACAAAATATTTGTATTGTTTAGGAGATTCAACAATCTATATATAAGTTCTACTCGGTCCACAAAGTATTCCATGACATGCTGGGTTTGAGGAAGGATCACACCTCAAAGGGTGTGATGTAGACAACCTGCCCTAATGTAGGCATTAATGGTTGCTTCCACGGTTTAAACCCGTGACTTTTCATGAGGAGACAACTTTACTGTTGCTTGAATAGTTTATATAACCTATATATACAATTCAATCTTCTCTCGAAGGGTATTCAATTGAATCTCCTTCGATGAATGTGAGTGACTTCACCAATATAGCTTTATTAGTCATCAATTTTAGCTACTTCCTTGCAAATTTGCCCTTAGGTTTTGTTTCATCTTGGATATTAGTATAATTCTTTAGATGAAACAATCAATAATCTTAAGTTAAGTCAATAGGCCCAGTATATGACCGTTGATTGTTACTTCGTACCAGCATAGATTAATTAAGATTTAAATATGTAAATAATATCTGCATTGATGTTTGTATATTTATATATATATAAACAATGAAATGCATAACATATAGGAATACAGATAAAAGATAATTCAATAGCTTCATCATGTACATAGATGATTATAAATCAACCCTTAATAACGCGTTAATCAACGCTTAATCACCTGCCTCAAATCCTCAAAACTCCAATCTCTTCTCATCCCGGGGCTCCTTGCCAATCTTGGCGAATCAGTCATGAACTCTATCGGACCACTATTATGAACCCTCCGAGAACCGTTTCGCGTATTATTTTCTTTTCCCATTATGGTTCGACCCCTCGTTTTTTCATATTTCCGTCTTTCAACCAAGTTCCCTGACCAGTTCCTCTCCATTCCCACTGAAAAAAGACGAAAATTCGACTTATCATTAACATGATTCAGTGTTTCCCTTAGTTCCTCATGTGAATCTGTTCTTTTTAGAGCTTGGCAGGTTAAACAATTGAGAGTCATTGTTGTATAAAAGAATAGGAAGAAAATTAAAAGTTTACAAGCTAATAAAAAATGCATAGGATATGAAAATAAAATAATGATATTGATGGTTGAATTTTTGAGGATATTGAGGTTAAGGGTGTGTTCTTTTTTTTTTTCTTTTTAAATAAATAACAAAATTCTCCCATTTTTTTTGGAAATGCTAAAGGTCTCGTGTTAATAATGTCCATTCTTTTTTGGTTTATACCCTAAAATAAAGGTGAATCAATCTTTAGGGTAATGGCTATTGTTATTCTTACTATTAAGAACCAATACATCTTCGATTAATATCCATCTACACAAAAACAAAAAATATCCCCAGCTCTATACATTCATATTGTGGTCTCATTCATGAACTAAATAGAATTATATTTTTATTTTACTAAATACTTTAGTTATACATTTGTTTATATAGAAAGAAAAAAGAGTTCGTACAGTTACTACAACAATATGTTCAGTGTAATTTCATAAGTGGGGCTTCAAAAAAGTTGTGTTCGCACATCTTTACCCTTATCTTGTAAAAATAGAAAAATTATTTTCTATAGATTTTTGACTCAAGTAAAACATATCAAAATTAAGGATAAAAAAATACTAAATAATATGATAATCAAGATTAAAAAAATACAAAGATAATAAGGGAGTAATGATCATAATATACATAAGATAAATTAGACAATATTAAATTATCGATTAATTTTCTACCCAAATTTTTTATTTTCACATCCTTCCCTCCAAAGTTTAGTGTTAAACAAAGAAATGTGAACACTTAACGGAACCATCAGTGTAAACAACAAAATGTGAATACTATAATAATATATGATATATATATATATATATAAATGAATTTCACATGTAAAACATGGTCATTTTTAAATTAATTAATTGTATTCAACAATTCAATTTTGGTCTTCAAGTCAATTTGATCTGGTCAATAACATTCGCTTTAAACTTCAGCGTTTTTTATTCTTCTTTATACATCTTTTTAATTAAAATATTATATAGGGTGATGTAAATGATTTTGTTCATATTTAATACAGTCATATTTTAGATGTATATATTAATGTATACTGAAAATATACGATCAGATTAATCTATAATAATTATTATTTATATTAACATATCATTATAATGATCAAAGTATTCTTTGAAATCAAATTTTTATATATATATTACATGCTTTTTATAATAATATTTTTATATATTAGCAATAAAATATCGAACAAAATAACTTTCTACAAGGTGATTTTGTGGCTTGAAAAAAAAGAAAGATAAATGGCTGGCTGTAAAATATAACTATTTATTGTATATAAATTTAATCTATTTTGATACTAAAGTTGTCATATTTTATTTTTTAAAAAAACAAATCAAACTATACATAAAAGCTTTTATAAAAGGGCAACTTTCACATATAGCAAACAAAAAAATCATATTTGTATAATATATGCGCTCCATAGCAAATATAAAAACTGTATAATTCGCTATACATATAAAAGTGTATAATTCGCTGGCCTAAATTGTATAATTCGCCATTTCGCTGCAATTGTATAATTAGTTTTGTATACAGTTTAATCGAATTAAAATGTATGTATATTGCATAATTATAAGTGTATAGCAAGAAGATATATGTTTTTCTCGCTTTATACAAAAACAGAAATACAATATATACACTTCTGTTGTATAAAGCTAGAAAAAATTGTATTTCACTGCAATTATATAATTCACGATTGTATAATTCTTTGGCCTTTTTCGCTGCAATATTTGAAGTAAAATGTTTGTAAATTATATAATTAAGTGTATAACACAAAGATATACATTTTTGCATGTGTATATACAATTTTCTCTCGCTTTATACAAAACAGAAACATAAATTATACACTTCTATGTATAAAGCGAGAGAGGCGAGAATGGGAGAGTGGCGAGCGAGACTTCTGGTAAATTTTTGCCAACGTTTGCTATGGAGCACAATTAAATCAAACCCTAGCTATTCCATTTAATTTAAGTTATTAGTTTGCTATTTTATACAATTTTCCTTTTATAAAACCTCAAACAAAAAACGAATCTTTGTCACATCTATCAATCTCTGTCTATTTGATTAACAGATATAAACTGTTTATCACACAATTCATAAGACCAAAATAATAATAATACTTCCTCTGTTTTCAAAATAATTTTCCAGCGCTAAATTATATAAATTTTATATATATTTTTTAATTATATGTAAGAAATTAAAATAATTTTTGTATTTATAAACTTTAATTTTTCAAAATATAAAATTAAATTTAAAAATTAGTTAAATTAATTTTTAGGAAGCCAAATGTAACAACTATTTGGACGGCGGGAATAATAACAAAGTTTGTGCCTAAATCAACTGCATTTAAAGGGCTTGTGTCACTTCAAACTCAAATGATACTCATGACATTATATTATTATAAACAATAATATATATACTTTTTAAATATTTCCTAGTCCAATGAATACAGCTATGATTTGACCAAATTCAATGAATTCTCTATAAATGAAAATGCAGCCCTACCCCTTTGTTTGGTGCTTTCTTCTAGACTAAAACAAGCAACTGATTAGTAATACATCCATTTATATTAAGTTTTGATTATATTTATATATTTACATTAAAAAAATATTTATTATTAAAAAGTAATAAGTTTTATAGTAAAGGCAATTGTGTACTCCATAACTAATATATCCATCATAATTAAATAAAAACTTTCGTCCAAACTCGAATCATATATTATATACACAACAAGGTCAAAAATTGTTTTTTTTTTTATAACAAAGTAATCTCTTATGACTAGTTAGTGTACAAGTTGAAACTCAATGCATCCTTCTCCACTAAAATGCAAAGGTGATTGTTTGTTACATGAATTGAACTTGTGACTCTAGTTCACACATGACATGTTACGTTCAATTAAAAAATGCTTAGTATTTTCTTCTAATTTGCCTAATGTAAAATGACAAGTGTTGTATCCCAAAAGAAGAGGGAACGAGAATTAGTAATAACATGAAGTTGATCATCAGCCACCAATTATTGGTTTCTCATTTATTTCCTGGATGAAGAATACAAAAGGATGAAGCTGCATCATATATATATATCTAATCTTACATGAACTAAAAAGCCTCAACTCGAGATCTCTAGTATTGGTTTCATCACATTTATATACAGAGAAGAAAATTCTCGCTCATTAGAAGATAACATTATACATAGCTCACTAGGGACATAATTTCATCGCGATTCAGCAATTTTTGATGTCAATGCTATCCTAAGCTGTTCTTGAGCATAAAGCCGGCTCCCCATTTTGACTGTGGCTTGTTGGATCATCAAATCATTCACCACGGAAACACTAGCGTGGTGCACGTCTAGGTCCAAGTCCTTGAGGGCTGCCATTAGCCTGGCAGCTGGATGGTTCTTTTTACTACATTGTATACGAATCATAGCATCCCATCCAATCACCTTAACGTCAATGTCCATATCGACAATCTTGACATCTTGATTCAATGGAGGGGAGGCGGAATAGTTTGATGATCCCTTGTTGGTTAATTCCTTCCTTAAACATTCAATTTGGCTCCTCAACTCCTCTTTATCTAAATCTGAATTTTGAACTTTTGATTTCAACTCATTGATGTATGCAATTGCATCTCCAAGAAGTGATGCCTTATCCATTTTAGACACATTTGGGACTACGGCTCTGAGCGCGTAGAATCTTTGATTCAATTTCTCCCTCCTCTGTCTCTCCGCTTCCACGTGATTCAATGGCTCCTCCCTTCCATTGGCTGGTTTCCTCCCTCGCTTCCTCGGCTTCTTTTCAGGTTCTACAACGGCCTCCTTCACCACTGAGGCTTCGAGATCTGAGTGATCAGAATCCCCGGACTTCCCCATTGTTGAAGTTGGCAAGATCACACCCGAAACAAACGAAAGCATTCCTTCTTCATTGTTTCCCCTTGATCCAAGTGACCTTTTCTTGTTCTTGTTCTTGTTCTTGTTCTCCTCCATGAGCCCAGGCCCAGGACCCAACTGTGATTGCCCTGAAAATCTCTTACTACTATCACCAAAATTCAATATCTCCCTGGACTCCGGCTTACAAGAAATTCCAGTTTTATTCCTATTACTACTTCCATCAAATCCATAACCCGAAAAATTCAACTCCTTTGTGAAAAATCCTTGACAATGCTGCTGCTGATTTTCAGAATTCTCATTTCCATACACAAGTTGAACATCCCTACTACTACTATGAATTAACGAATCCTTAGGTTCCACAACCGAGGAAGATGGATCCGTAAGCCAAAGGGCCGAAGGATCGGGCTCAGGATGCACAGCACAAGAGCCTGAGCCCGAACCTGAGCCTGTAACAGACCCCATATCAATATTGAAGTTAAACAAATACTTAACCTTGTTCATCAAATCCGAGCTTTGGAATATCAGCTCAGTCGAACCAAGCTCCACTACACCGTTAGCTGAAGGAATACACACAATCGTCTGAAGCCCGAAACCTTGGGCTTGCCTGGCCCGTTCACATTGAGAAGCAGCTAATTTCTCTGTTCCAGTAACCCAAATTGGGCTTGAACTGTACATCGCCAAGCCCGGAAGCCCGTTACCGTTAACAAACGATTGGGTCATTGAAATCAGAAAAAACCATTCAGTATCCGTCACTTCCTCATCCACTGCATCATCAGTTCCGTTTCCGGCGGAAGCTTGTACACCGGATATTAATGAATTCAGCTCCCGAAGCACCTTCTTTCTATGCTCTTGCTCAGCAACAAAATTAGCTGCTGAACTAGACGACCCTCTCCGTTTATTCTTATCTTCTTCTCCTTTATAATACCCATCTCCCCAACCCAATACAGTTTGGCTCGCAAAATCAACAACTGACGATTGCCAGAAAATAGCATATGCCCATGATTCACGAGCACCGTCAATTAAAGCCTGAAGCCTTTGCTGTAGTGACTCTTGATTGAAAAACGGCATCGTT